AGAATATGACATTTCCTGTCATGTACTGGAGTGGATAATGCCTACAATGACGTATCTGATCCAATATCTGACATGTCAAAGTGCTGCCAAACCCTGGCTATCCTAGATCTTCATTGTAGATATTGGCTAAGATCGCCGGGGTTATTTAATTTCTAACAATATTCTTCCCCCTCTGCCAATGTTCAAAATCAAAGACAGGGTATCCAAATCGGAGCCAGCAGACACCAAACTCTATTTTAGAAGTAAAGTAGCAGGGAGAACATTCATTTACCAGCAAGTTTAAAAAGTCTTGGTTACCTACTTCTAATGAGAAGGGCAACTCTAGCGGCAGGAAACCATTTATTTATGCTGTGTGTTGATTTACTGACAGGAAACTTTGGCAATACATTATTCATTTTTTTTTCTGGCAAATTACAGGAAAGGGATTGATAAATCTTTTCCTTTCTAAATTATTTTCCTTTTAAAGAGACTACAGACTCTCAATTTTTCACTGTAGAAGTTAATAGGGTAAAGTCATCTTTTTAAAACTCAATAAATAATCCTATGAAATACCTATAACTTAATTCACACTTGTGTCTTAAGCACGAGTGCAAAGGAATAATTGGAAGATGGTGGAAGGAAGGATGCGGGCCTTAGAGGTAGAGAAGAAAAAAATGAAAAGACTTATTGTATATAACAAATAATGTTGAGATTAAACCTGAGACTTCAAAACATTAGACATTATTCATTGTTTGCTTGTTCAATGGTTTATTTTTTTCTGTATTTCTAGACTACAGAAAAAATATAATAGTTTTAGATAATTTTGCCTTAAAAACTCAAACCCTTACATTTATCTGTTCCTGGATCTTTGTTTTTTCAGTTCTTTGTCAATGAACAAATATTTAGTATACACATATATCATTATCAGACACAACAGCATGTGAGGTGAACAAGGCAGAAGCATATCGTAACTAATAACATATCGTCATATCATCTCTCTCTACATCACCCAACTGGTCAGGGTGAATATTAAGAAGGCAGCATTATGGTCCTCATGTTAGTTCAGTACTATAAACACAAAAATAATGTAGACATAGGTCAAACTTCTGAGATATGAAGGCCTCCAAAATGTTAACTTTCCCTCAAATATTTTTTCAGACAGAAGTGCAAGTCCTTTAAAAAAAACATACTCAGAAAACTATTCTTTTGGTTTGATAATTCATTTAATAAATATCTGTTAAGATCTACTTTGCATATGAGTCTATGGGTGTTAGAAGGATTATTTGAACCTGATCTTTGCTTCCTAGGAGCAATCTGAGCCAGCTGATACACGCATATTTTATTCTTTTATGCAAAGCACAGAGGACATTCATTTGGGAGGTATAAATTGTTCAGGAATCCTATGTCCTGCTTCATGGTTTTTTGCTAATAATCTTGCAGAATGTTCTGCCTTTTTCCCTAAGTATCACTGTTAGATCCAATTCACCCACCTTCAGATGTTTTGATGCACAGATCCGTCAGATGTGTTTGTGTGTTGAACAGGGAATCCATTGTGGAATTATAGCTGTTCAATTTGTTGTAACCTCAAAGGGAGAGATCCAGGGGACCTCTCATGCTGCCGCGCTTCTGATATCCTCTAAGTATTACGCTTAGAAAGTCCATGAGAGTTTAGTGATTTGCTCAGAGTTTGGAATGAAGGCGAAAAGAAGTTAGAACATCATGAACATGCACTTTCCACTGTCACATTTCTCTGATTTGCTTTGTTCATGGAGTTTTCTCAAAATGGTTTACCCTTCCCACTTTTCCTTCCTCTCAGTTCTTTCTGTCTTTGAAATGCTGTCTGTTGTCCAAAAATCAATCAGAATACATTTTTTTTCTTTCTATATGCTCCCGTATCAGAAAGTCAGTGTGTGGGAAAGGAATCATTATAGAGGCGTTGAAATGAGAAATATTTGGGTCAAAATTTTGGCTCTCTAACTGATCACGTGAGTTTCAGCATGTTCCCTAACCTTTCCAAATTTTAATTAATTTCCATGAAAAATATGTGGTTAAAACACCACCTACCTAGAAGAGTTCTTGTAAGGATTAGAAATTGAGTGCTGAAGGAAGATTAGCCATTCAAAATTTTAGTAGTTACTTTTACCTAAGTTTTTACCTGCCTCTTATATCATTCTATCTTGTATTCTAGTTCTATGTTGGTCCCCTGTCCCCATCACCATTGAAACATCCTTGAAACTAAGGATTATCTTTTTCACTTATTTAATCCTCACAGTAAGTAAGATCCATACTTTGCACCTTCAAAAATACTTGTTGCTGGGCCGGCTGAGTGGCTCAGTTGGTTAAGAGCTCGCTCAAGAGTTTGAGCTCTGAGCAACAGCGGTTCGAGTCAGCCCGAGCTGAGCAGCCGTGAGCTGCCAACAGGTGGCGGGATGGCTCAGCTAAAAAAAAATACTTGTTGCTGGGTTATGGAAGGCATCATCATATTTTGTCTTTAACTATAATAGAAAGACTAAATAACAAACATAAAAACAAGAAAACTTCATTACAGATAGGATTTTTCAAATGTTTATTGAATTTCTGCTATTAATATCTCCAAAGCACATCTAAGTATTATCAGGATATATAATTAAACAGATATAAATCACATATATGTATTCTGAGTCAAAATTTGAAAGATCTAGACACTTGCACAAGCTATTCCTATAAAAAGGAAGTAATAAATGCTGTGGTACAGAACTGGTTAAGTACTAGGGTAAAAGAGAAGAAAATGTTAACTCAAAATTGGAAAATTTAGATGACTGCTTAAAAAAAACAAAAAACTTAGGCCAAATACTGGACACCATAAATTATGTATGTACTGTATGCCAAAACACTTTTTATTTAATATCTCATATAATCTTATGAGGTAGGTACCATGATTTCCATTTTATGAATAAAGAAACTGAAATTAATTGCTTAAGGTCATCATATTCTTTTGAGTGGCCATGAGAAATCCTAAGGATCAAGAATAGAAAAAGAAAAAAATAACTTAGAGAAAAGGGCCTAGGATGCCTTGGGTCTATTTGTATTAGGACTCTATAGTCGAGGCTGACTCAGGTTAGAACAGTCCTCACAGCATCATGGGCTCCAGCCAGAGCTCTACTCCAGATGCTAAATGTGGGTTTGGGATTTAACTTGATATTATTATTATTATTTTCTACTTGTGTTGCCTTCGTATGTTCTTCAAAAAAAAATTGTTAAGGATTTAGTGATTTAGGATATGGGAGCTCTCTCCATCATGTTCCATTGGAGATACTACTGGTTTGAGCTGTGATCGGGGAAGCATATCAAAACAGCTGGAAGGCCAGTATTCATTCATTCAGCCATGACGCTTGTCAATGATAAGAAATATTGAAGACTGGAATAGTCTCAGTTACTTAAAAGTCATATTGTTTCCCCAATTCCAGAGTAGAGACAACAATATCAATGTTCCTCCCATCCCATTTCTTTGGCTTCCCTGAGCTTACTTGTGAATCTACCTGTAAATGAAATAAATTCATCCTATACCTTCAAATCTCTTTCTAAAAACTTAACATCAATATAAGCTCTTTATGTTAGAAGTCTGCCATCAAGTTCCACAACTGATTTTTTAACTCATGGTGAAAAAAAAAACAATTTATGCCCCAATAAGTATGATTCAAAAGCATGCATGGACAGACTTCGGAATAATTTGCTGATTGCTATGTGTCAAAAATCTACTTTTATAGACCTGAAAGTATTTTCTTTCAGGCAAGCAAGATGCTTTGTCGTGAGAAGATACTTTAAATCACTTAGTTATATTTACCATTTATTTATAACCATTTGAACACTTAAAAATTTATATCTATACACACACACACACACACACACACACACACACACANACACACACACACACACACACACACACACACACACATATATATATATATATATATATATATATATATATATATATTCCCCATCCTTGCTCCTCACCACAATAAAGTGGTGACAAATAATTCCTCATTCTAATAGCTCCTTTTCCCAGTCCTGCACCAAAAATCTAAACCAATGAAGCAGGCAAGTTGGTCATAGCTCTCTGAATAATAAAGGTTAAACCGCTGCTAAGTATTAGCTAATTAAGAAAGAGGGGATATAGGGGTGAGAGCAAATGCATATGTGTGTGTAAAAGAAAAACAAAGGATGCCATTAAGTCTACTCCCCTTTTAGTTTAAAACTATGGATTCCTTCATTGCTATAATTTGAATGATTATGCCTAACTACCCATAAGATCATGAAACTAACTAGAGAATCTTAATTCAGTTCCCTAGCAATTTAATGAATTAAGTTTGTTTTGTTTTTGCTAAATAAAATGTCTCATAGTGTATTGTCTCTCCTTTTAGACATTAGCTGTCATTAGTCCTGGTAGAGAATACTGCCAAATATGTGATTAGTATCTCTTATGCATTATATATATATACATTTGTACAGAAACCAATAAAAAATGCTAGAAAGAATGGTTATTGTACAAATATATATGACATGGTATACATATATGTAATGGATGTGCTTAAGTATGTTTTTATGTAAAATGAAAACTTTTCATTTATTTTCTATAGTTGTCATTTTCATGAGATTTAGATCTGTCAGTAATGTTTAAGCAGCATTGTACTCTTATTGTGTTTTCTTAAATCATAAATATAATTTACAAGTATTTTGTTTAGTTGTGCATTAAATGCCCATAAACTTCCAAGATATGAAAAAAATTTGTTTGTTGTAGTTTTTAGAGGGAAACCTTAGAGAATATGTCTCTAGTCTCTGAAATAATTGGGTATCTTATGTATCATAATACTAAAGAAGTATATATACATATATATTACATACCCATTGAATGACCAATTGTATACTCTGAACATGTCTGTTTAGTCAATATTAATTTACTTATAAAGAAACCCCTAGAGACACTTAAAATGAAAACCAGGTTTCGTTAATTCCCCCCCCCCCCTCCACCAGGTCCTTACCTCCAATAGCTGAAAACTAGGCCTAAGTCTCCATATTCTGAATATCTGAAAACGCTGTCCTTTCTAATCTCCAGGTAGCCGGCCACAAGGAGGCAGAAAGCATTCTCCTTTCCAATCAACTCCCTCTCCCCCATTGCAAAGCTTCCTACCGGTTTTGAGCAAACAGCAGATTTTCTCGGCCCACAATAAGCTGGGACAAACTCGGAAACAAACACTCGTAGTTCTGAGTTATTTGCAGGGCTGTCCGTCCATCTCAAACTCAGAAGGCTAATTACTGCCCCCTGGTGGTAACGCGCGCCTGCCTTCAGGAAAGCAAAGGCTCGGCTCCCTTCTCAGGGCAGGTGAGAAATACCATTCATTCCTTCCTAAAGAGATCATGGTCACAGAAACAAAGCAAGTTACAATTTCTCAGTAGGATACCATGATATGTGAACGTCTCAATTACCTTCTCTGCTCTGCATTTCAACTTTAAATTTGGATTCAGTTATTCTGATTATCTACTCAAACAACTCAGCTGGGTCAGGTTAGTGGCAAACATGCTTGGGGGATAGGCAATCTTAAAGGCGTGGCAAGCAGACTGGGCACCAAACCTTAAGATCAAATCCTATTTTTTGGAATTCGAAACTCCCAAGTGATGTAGAATTAAGGAACAGGCACAAAAAAAGTTAATTAGGTACTCCCCAAAATCCCTAAGCCACATGCAGGGCCCTGCCATCTAAAACTTCCAGGGGCCACCTAAAATGACTTTTTAAATGGCTTTCTTCTGTCCTTCTAAGGTGACGAATTAGAAGAGAAGCAGTCTAGTGTCAAGCAGTGCTTCTCTAAAAGAAGCATTTGGCAATGGCTACAGATTTTTTCCCCCCACATTTTGTGGGGGATGGAGACGCTGGTATGTAGTGGACACGGATCAGGGGTACTGCTAAGCATCTTACAACGCTTACAATACACAGGAAAGCCTTCCCTACTCCCCACCCCATGAAATGATCCAGTTCAAAATATCACTAGCTCCAAAGTCTGGAAACCTTGTGTGGAGAACCTTGATCTCCAAAGCCCTTGTCTATAAAATAAGAATAATAAGAATTCTTATCTTTGGGTGATGGGATGGCTAAGTGAGATTATCCATATATCCACACAAAACACTGATCATCGTGTGTCCAGAATAAGCATTCAACATGTATGCTATTGTTATCATCATTTTTATTACCAATTTCAATTCAAGAGAAATAGAGAACTTTTCTAGTTAAAATGGGAGAAAATATGTTTGGGACTATTATAAAGATATAAACTTTATACACAAGTTTCACCAGCCGGCATTAGAAGCAAGAGCTTGCTGGCCTAGTCATTCATTCGCCCAATTATTGGACATCAGCACAGACCCTCACAACTGAAAATTGTCTAAGTTATAACAAAGGAACGACTCAGTGTATTTGCAGACCAGTCTCTTTAAAATAGTTACTGAGTATCATCAAACAAAGCTTTTTATTCCTGTTGCAGGTCTCCTTGGTCAAGAGTCAGTATTATTGGAGTTGTTGAAAAGACTTTCACCACTGTTGCTACAGATGTCTCTTTTGAGATATCTTATGTCTGTGCCAAGCTTGCTATCTTTAGGTGCTCATAAAGTCATCGATGGCTAAGGATGCAGAGCACGGCAGGGCCCTTTCCCCAACATTGGGCCACCTTTTGTCACGGGCACCCACGCATCTCATAAACTCTATCATGGAAGTAATCTCTTTAATGTCTTTCTCGTTCTCATTTCTCACAAACTACGTCGTGTGTGCTTGAAAAAAATGCCTCTTCAGAGTAAGAAGAAATATAATTCAGACACAGCTTTGCCTCTACACCCTTTTCAAAGCATCTCTGTCCTTCGCACATTCATCCTAATAAAAACATACAGATAAAATGAAAGCTCTAGCTAGAGATATTATCTGAATAAACATAAGAACTTATATTCTCAAAAAGCAAAAAACTACATTTTCACTATGAAGGCCTATAGAAATTTGTTTTGTATTTGTGTATCTGAAGGACTTATCCTGGTGATTTATAAAACACAAAGACACAGACTGCCCTTAAAGCATATTAAAGTCCCTGTGTCTGAGGACAGAAAATTGATTACCGCCTCCTTTCTCTATCCCCTTCCCCAGCACTGCCCAATGTCAGAGTCTGATTAGCTAGAACACCTTGTTAGGTACAGCATTTATTCAGAACACGCTCATATAGATTTTGTGTGTCGTGTTCACTTTTGACAGGGTTGCAGAAATAGCCTACTCCATATTCGTTTATAACGCCTCCTGGTGGAAGGATGGGGTCAGAGAATACGTCATTGGAACAGAGCCTTGTAGATTAAAGAACACTGAATTGGATTGTGTCCTGTAAACTCTTGGGTTCTAAATTTAGATATGAAGAAAGTGAAGTGAAAGAAGTGAGATGACATAAACAGGTCCTACGGGGACGGGGTGCTAAATTGATAATGCCATTCCAAGTGTCCAGTACTGTGCTGCCTCTGCTTGAGAAAAGGGAGGTATGCATTACTAAAGTTAAAAAAAAAAAAAGCTATATTATAAACCGGCTTATTTAAAAAAGAGATCTGTGACGTGGACCTTGAACACTGCATTATAAAGACTGTATCATAAACATATACCACCTGGGTTATTAATGTAAGTGTATACCTGCTAATTTAGTCATAAAACTTAAGTTTAGAAAAAAGTCCTAAAAGTTATTCATTTACCCTCTGGCATCCAATGATTGCGTACCTACATAAAAAAGGCATAAAGAGGGAACTTTCAGGCACAGTTTTTTAATTACTCTAGAAAAAATACATTTGGTCAAATATCCAAATTTGCCCACCCACTACCTTCTACTTGCTGGTGGAGTTCTGATTTTCAAGTGACCCCTTCCCCAGAGCTAGTGGGTGAATTATAGATGCCTTAATTCTCCTGTCAGTGATGGAGTTAGTCGCGGACATTTAACCCAGTTCTAGACAGTGTGGACTGAAACACAGAGCATCTGTGAGTTTGGGGGAACCTCTCTTCTTTGGCATATGGTGTTTGACACGACGATACTATGACAACCATCTTGAACTTAGGTGGGGCAAAGACTAGGAACTCAGCCAATGTACTAAAGGTGAAAAAAGCAAAAGTCTTGACCCTTAATGACATCATATTGCTTTCAAATTAATTCTGGAAAATTCCTACCACAGAATTCCAAAATCAGTGACATAATAACCCTCGTGTTTTAGGACACCTTTACTTAGCTACTCTGTTACTTATATAGCCATAAACACCTACCCCTGATTCCATTCACTAAAACCACTTCAGAAAAATTAAATAACAAATGTTAATCAAATTTTAGACAATAAAGAATATAAAATATAATTGAGTTACTACATGTATGTATTTAACTTATGCAAATTCAATTCTTGAACTTCAGAATAGAATAAAAGGTATGAAATTGAAAAACTGCATTTTCTAATCTATTATATAGTGTATATTACCATATACATTACATACTTATGAATACTTGTCATTGTTCAAGTCATGCACACACAACCCGATGTACATTGACTAGTTACTAAATAGTTATTAAGGAAAAGATATTGACATTTGAAAATATGCAATTTTATATTTCCATGTGATTGAAATATACGTAAGTAAAATAAAAGTTAAATATCTAATTGTGAAATGCTTATAATTGATATACAAAAGTATAAAGAGGTTGATATCTTCAGTACATAAAAAACTATTCAACTGTGTAAGGAAAACTGTAAGACTTCAACAGATGACTAGGTAAATAATGTGAATAAACCATTAGCTCAAGAGTAAAAGAAAACAGTGACTTGGGGAAAGTTTTTCTCACTGATATTCGAATAAATAAAAATGAAAACAGTTTGGCATTTCATTGTATGCCTGGTAGAGACATGAGGACATTTAAAAGGAAGTGATAACATTCCAGCTTTCTATTTAGAGCACATGCATTGCTGTTAGCATTATAAATTGACACACACTTTTTGGATGTTTGACTAAGAGGAACTGTTGAAATTCTAAGTGCCTGTATTATTCAGACCATGTCTGCAGAAAGCAGCCCCCAGCAGTTCTCTGTGCATAACTTGTCATGGTTCATGAGCGTCTAGTAGAACCACACCTATTTCTCTGCCCACAATCAAAGGTACCAGGGATCAGCGCAAGAGTCAAAGGTAAATATTATACTGTGGATATGAAAGAAGCCAATAACCTCTAACTTCTAGGTAAAAAAATTTCCCAGTTCAGTGTTTCATATTAGAAAGTGACAATCTGATCAAATCATATTTCTTTTACTTGGGAGTATGAATGTTAATATGATGGTTAATTTTCTGTCAACTTGTCAAGGCCACAGTCCTTAGTTATTTGATCAAATGCCAGTCTAAATGTCTCTGTGAACATAGTTTTTTAGATGAGATTACCAATTAACATTTCAATGAGAAGACTTTGAGTGAGCACATTACTGTCCTTAAAGTGGGTGGACCTCATCCAATCAGTTGAAGGCCCTAAGAAAACAAAGTCTGAGGTCCCTCGAGGAAGAGGAAATTCTCCCTCCAACTGCTTTGAGACTTGAGCTGCAGTGTCCACTTATCCCTGGGTCTCCAGCCTGCCCCCACGTTCTGCAGAGTTTGGACTTCTAGCCCCACTATCATGCAAGCTGCCAATTCCTTAATATAAATTCTCTCTCTCTCTCTCTCTCTCTCTCTCTCTCTCTCTCTCTTACTTTCTGTCTCTCTTTTTCTCTGCAAATACACACACACACACACACACACACACATATACGCATGAGGCCTGACAATTAAGTTGGCGAACTTGTTACAATGATGTTGCTAACCTTGTTTGATATCAGAGGGATTATTTATTACGAATGTGTACCAACTGGACAAACAGTTAACCAAGTTTACTATTTGGAAGTGTTGAAAAGGCTGCATGAAAAAGTTAGACGACCTGAACTTTTTACCAACAATTTATGGCTCTTGCATCATGACAATGCACCAGCTCACATGGCACTGTCTGTGAGGGAGTTTTTAGCCAGTAAACAAATAACTGTATTGGAACACCCTCTCTACTCCCCTGATCTGTCCCCCGATGACTTCTTTCTTTACCTGAAGCTAAAGGAAATATTGAAAGGAGGACATTTTTATGACATTCAGGACATCAACAGCTCTGATGGCCATTCCAGAAAAAGAGTTCCAAAATTGCTTTGGA